GAGGGGTTTACTCTGCGAGATTCCTGACCCACTGCTCCCAGAACCTGGGCCCGCGCACCCAGAATCTGGCTGCAGGTGAAGGTACGGGCTCCAACGATAGCTTGCGCGGAAGTTGTTGGGGACCACCGTTGTCGCGACACGTGCTGCATCACTCGGCTTCCACAGCTGTTGTCGGATATGCTCGGACAGACTCAGATGGCCTCCGCGGAAGGCAGGCCTGATCATCCGGCCAGGAAGGAGGACACGAGCCCAGCATCATCCGCCGCAGCGTTGGGCCCATCGCTTGGGAGAGCGGCGGGCAGAGGCAGCACACATGCTCAGCTACAGCGGCATGGCCATCTCGCACGAAGGAGGCACCAGACGTGCGTGTGCACCCGTGTGTGACGGCGAGGGCACGGCGGCGGGCGCGGCTGTGGCTCCAGAGCCGCGACAGCACCTGGCGAGCATCAGCCACGGCGCCAGGATCAGCTTCGGGGGACGAGGCGCAGGAGCAGTCGTCCCCAGCTTTACCAGCCTCGAACGTATCCCTATCCCTGAGATCGGCACGCCAAAAGGCGATGACAATCTTAGGGATTCGCCCTCAAAAAGTAAGGGGATCCCCAAGACTGGCATCGTGATGAGGAGGTGCCCAGCACAGGGATGGGGACGTGCTCCAGGCTGGTAACAGGTGCTCTGCTGGTGCCAGCCACTGCGCGAAGGACGCCTGCTTGCACGCCACGTCCGCGCATGCTTGCCCCCTCCGCCGCGCACCCCCCTCTCCAATGATGGGCCCGTTTTCCACCACCACCACCAGAAGTTGGAGGGGGGAAGGAGGTGGAGAGGAGGAGGAGGAGGAGGAGGAGGAGGAGGAGGAGGAGGAGGAAGAGGAGGAGGAGGAGGAGGAGGCGGAGGAGGAGGATGAGGAGGAGGAGGAGGAGGGGGCCCCCTCCCCCTCCTACTTATGGTGGTGGTCGTGGTGGAAAACAGGCCCATCATCCCAGGCCAGCAGGGCGGCGGCGGCGATGCTCCGCCGGCGGCGGGCGCGGGCGGCTGCGGCGCGGATCCGCGGCGCGCCCCGGCTCTCCTCCTCCCTCCCTCCCCCCTCCCTGTCCTGCTCCTTCTCCTCCTTCGCCCTCCTCCTCCGCCCTCCTCCCTCCTCCTCCTCTCCTCCTCCTCCTCCTCCTCCTCCTCCTCCTCCTCCTCCTCCTCCTCCCCCTCTCCGGCTCCCTCGGCGCTTCGAAGATGGATGGGGCCCCGAAACATGGGACCAAGGGCGGAGAGGCCTTGAGTAACTGAAGCTCAGCCTTGAAACCCTTCCCTGTCCCTGGGGCCCATGCCTCAGGATCCCCTCCTCCTCCTCCTCCTCCTCCTCCTCGTCCTCCTCCTCCTCCTCTTCCTCCTACTCCTCCTCCTACTCCTCCCCCTCTCTCCCCCTGTTTCCCCCCCCCCCCCCGCACCCAGATCCGCATGTCTCTCTCTTTCCCCGCCCCTCTTGTGTGGGCAGCACCGGCCTGGGCACAGCCCGAGGAGGGAGGGGGGGCGGGGCCAAGACTTGCCTCATCACTGGATGCTGGAGTTTTCGAGTAGTGGCCGACGAGATCGGTCCATACCCATTTCGCTTCAAATCCAGGATCGGTCGCGACCGACGGATCGCTATCGGTCGCGACCGAACAGCGCCTGGTATCAAATGACCTGGATTTGGAATTTTCAGTCCCGGCGTTTTTTCCCCCACTTTCTCGGCCCCCAGGCTTTGGGCCGGGATGGATGTGGCAGTCACGGTGCTCTTCTTCCATTTCGGCCTTTGATGGCCAGCTCCGAGCCGCGGGGCAGTCAGAGTCGGATCCGGGACGAAGGTGGCCCCCAGGGGGGGAAGAAGAGGTCGAAACCTTTGCGGCCCGCGAACTGACCTATCACCAGTCCGTCGGATATCTGAGGCTTCTCTGGGATGGCCAAGGCCTCACCGCCAGTGCCGCCGGCCCTGAAGGGGGACGACAGGGACGACGACGACGATCTGAGATTTCTCTGGGATTTCGGATCCGAGGGGGGGATTCATCCATGCACCACCGCCTGGGGGATCTGTCTTCGGGGACCTCGGCAGGCGGTGGAGATGGATCGGGGGTAAGTCTCATTTCAAGGAAAAGGCTTCCGAAGCTACGCCCCCCCTCCCTTCTGTGAGATAAAGAGGGGTGTATTGTAAAGGGGAGGGAGGGCTTCTGAGCTAGAACCTTCCTCTCTTGGGATTCGCTGAGAAGTCTTTGTCCTCTCACCGAACCGGGTGTTGAATCTGGCCTTGACGCCTGGGAGGGGGAGGCAGGAGGAGGAGGGGGAGGAGGAGGAGGAGGAGGAGGAGGAGGAGGAGGAGAAGGAGGAGGAGGAGGAGAAATGATGAGGATAACGACGACGACGACGGCGGCGGCGTCGGCGACGGCGGCGGCAACGGCGACGGCGGTTCGAATCGGCCGACCGTGACGGCGACGACGACGACGGCGGTTCGGACCGGCCGACCGCTTCGAAGCGTTGAGTGTCACGAGATTCACTTGGATCGGGCGGGGGGGGGGGGCGGGGCGCCGCTGTGCTCGTGCGCGTGAGGCATTCGGGATGCCTCTTGGGCACTTCTTTGGGGCCTTCGCGTGGCTAATCAGGGTCTGTCGGGTGCATTCTGGGTCCTTCTGCGGCGAAGAATTGGACGATTCAGTTCGCGTTCCCCCTTTTTGGGATCCTGTGATGGCACGCCTGGGGACGTCTTGGCCCGTCCTGCAGGCGTCTTGGGCCGCTTTGGGGTTCCTGGGCCGTGACGGAGTTTCTTTGGGGGGCCTTCTGGGCCATCTTGGAGCGACCCTTGCGGCTTTTTGAGCCGATGTAAACGCTGTGAGAGCTCCAGAGGCGAGTCTGCTATACATGTATGTTTTCTGAAGGGAATGGGACGATTGCTGCGTCTTGGGACCTTTGGAGGCGAGCTCTTTGAGGCCTCTTGGGACGTGTTGGACGCACCGTGGGCCCCCTGGAGGCATTCTTCAGCGTTGTGGGCCGACCTGTCGGCGACTCAGAGCCCCGTTGGACCGATTTGGGTATTTTTTGGGCCGTCCAGGAGCCATCAACAATCACCGCAAGAGCCTGGTTCCGCCCATGACGCGAATCCGTGCGCTTTCCGGCTCATCCGTTTAGGTGCGTCAAGGACCCCTGTCTTTCAAGCGTGCCCCTCTCTGGTGCGTTAGGAACTGATGGTTTTCACGCTTGTCCCGCCCCGAGGCGTTAGGAACTCGTGTGTTTTCACGCCTGTCCCGCTCTAGGGCGTTAGGAATCCATGTGTTGCCACGCTTGTCCCGCTCAGGAGCGTTATTACCTTATGTGCTTGGGGGCGTTTGTAATCTTATGTGTTTTCACTCTGGCGCCGCTCTGGGGCTTGTTCCGCTCTGGGGCGTGAATAACTCGTGTGTTTTCGCGCGTGTCCCGCTCGGGGCCGTTCGAGACTTAGGTGTGTTTGCGTGTGGTTCGCCCTGGGGCGCTAGGAACATATGTGGTTTCACGCTGGTGCCGCATTTGGGCGTTACGAACCTGAGTACTGTTGCGTTTGTGCGGCTCTGGGGCGTTACGAGCCCATGTGTACTCGCGCTTGTCTTGCTCTGGGGCGTGAGGAACCACGTGTTTTCACGTTTGTCCCGCGCAGGGGCGTGAGGAACCCAGGAATTCTCACGCTTTCCCGCTTTGGGGAGCTAGGACTCTGAGTCTTCTCGTGCCTGTCCCGCTTTAGGGCGTCCCTTTGCTCTTCGGCGCTTTTTGGTCTTCAGCGCCCCTGTGGTTTTCGGTGCCATTTTGGTTCTCCTCACCCCCGTGGTTCTCGTCGCCCCGTTGGTTCTAGGCGCACCTGTGGTTTTCGGCGCCTCTTTGGTTTTCGCAGCCCTTTTTGTTTTTGGTGCTTCTTTGGTTTTCGGCGCACCTTTGGTTTTCGGCGTCCCTTGGGTTTTCGGCGACTCTTTGGTTTTCGGCGTCCTTTGTTTTTCGGCGCCTCTTTGGTCTTCGGCGTCCATCTGGTTTTCGGAGGTCCTTTTGTTTTCGGTTCTCCTTCGGCCTTCAGAGCCTTTGGGTTTTCGGCGCCCCGTTGGTTTTCGGCGCCCTGTTGGTTGTCGACGCCCCTTTGGTTTTAGGTGTCCTTTGAGTTTTCGGCGTTCCTTTGTTTTCGGCGCTACGTTGGTTTTCGGCGCGCTGTGATTTCGGCGCCCCTTAGGCCTTCGGCGTCGTCTTGGTTTTGTCGACTCCCATTTGGTTTTCGGCGTCTATTTTTGATTTCGGCGCCGCTTTGGTTTCGGCGCTCCTTTGGTTTTTGGCGTCCTTTTGGTGAACGGCGCATCGTTGGTTTTCGGCGTTCTTTTTGTTTCGACGTTTCTTTTGTTTTCGGCGCCCTGTTGGTTTTCTGTGCTCCTTCTGTTTTCGGCGCCTCTTGGTTTTCGGCGCCCTTTTTGTTTCCGGCGCGCTGTTGGTTTCCGGTGCACCTTTGGTTTTCTGTGCTTTCTTGGGTTTCGGCGCCCTCTTTGTTTTCGCCGCCCTTTGGTTTTCGGCGCCCTTTTGGTTTTCGGCGCAATGTTGCTTATCGGCGCTCTGTTGGTTGTCGGCGCCCCTTTGTTTTTCTGCGCCCTTTTGATTTTCGGCGCCCGCCCTTTGGTTGCCGGCGCCTCTTTGGTTTTCGCGCCCGTTGGGTTTTCTGCGCGCTTTTGGTTTCCAGCGACCTCTTGGTGTTCAGTGCCTTTGGGTTCTCGGCGCTCCGTTTGTTTTCGGTGCTCCTTTGGTTTTCGTCGCCTTTTATGGTTTTAGTGCTCCCTTGGTTTTCTGCGCTCTTTGTGTTTGTTGGCTCTCCTTTGTTTGTCGGCTCCATTTTGGGTTCTGGGTTTCGTCGGCCTTTTTGGTTTCCGGCGCATCGTCGATTTCGGAGCCCTTTTGTTTCTCGGTGCCCTTTTGGTTTTCGGTGCATTTGTGGTTTTCGGCGCTCTTTTGGTTTTCGGAGCCCCTTTGGTTTTCGGCGCCCCTTTGGTTTTCGGCGGCCTTTTGCTTTCGGCAACTCTTTGGTTGTCGGCGTCCTTTTGGTTTTCGGGGATCCTGTGGTTTTCGGCGCCCTTTTGATTTCGGCGTTTCTTTGGTTTTCGGCTTTCTTTTGGTTTTCGGCGCTGTTTTGGTGTTTGGCGACTCTTTGGTTTTCGGCGCCTGCTTAGTTTTCGGCGCCCCTTTGGTTTTGAGTGCCCTTATTGGCTTTCGGAGGCCTTTCGGTCTTGTGGTTTTCGGTGCTCCTTTGGTTTTCGGAGCTCCTTTGGTTTTCGGCGCCCCTTTGGTTTTCGGTGGCATTTTGGTTTCGGCGACTCTTTGGTTTTCGGCGTTCTTTTGGCTTTCGGTGCCGTCTCGGTTTTTGGCGGCCCTTTGGTTTTCGGCGCTCTGTTGGTTTTCGGCGTTTTTGCGGTTTTCGGCGCGACTTCCTTTTAGCCAAAAGGGGGAGGAGGGGGAGGGCTTCCAAGTTCTCCCCCCTATAGCCAAAAAGAGGGGGAGGGGGGGGGGGCTTCTGGCAGGGCGGGGGGGCCAAAGGGTGGGGGGAGCTAAGCTCCCCCCCCCGGAAAGGGGAGGAGGGGTGGGTAGCTTCGGAAGCGCAATGGGGGGGAGGGGGGGTAGCTTCCCAGGGGTGGAACACCCCGCCCAAGCGTTGCTGTTGCCCGGCGACCCAAGCCCGCCTTCCCTGGGTAACGACCGCTCCCAGAACTACTAGAACAAACATGTCCATCGTCATCCGTACGCGTCGCGTGGTACTGTGGCTGTGATCTCTTGTAGGGGGCATCCCTAGTGGTACCGACCCGGTCCGGCCTAGAATCGGGGGAAAACAAACCTACCTCGCTTTTGACCACCCTCGCTTCCAAGAGATACCAAACAATGCCAAATTGCGGCCTGTACTGGTCAGGACGCTTGACGAGGAGGCGCGTGGTATGGCTTGGTTTTCCCTGGAAGCGAAAGCGGGGGAGGTAATTCACGCTCTGATAGAAGTCCCCCGATCGGGCTTCACAGCGTCTCCAGGAGTTGTTGCCCAACGTTCGTGCCAAGGCCCGCCAAGAGCTGTCCCCCAACATTGTCGTCGTGGCCGCCGCCGCTGCCGCTTCTCCCTCTGCCCCCAGTCGGGGCCTCCTGGATGGGGTCGGAGCGGATGGGGTCGGAGGATTGCGCCGCATCGCCGATGCATCGGCGATGCGGCTCGATGTGGAGCCCGTGTTTCCCCACGCTGGCGTCGCCGATGCATCGCCGATGCATCGCCGATGCGTCGCCGATGCGTCGCCGATACATCGCCGATGCGTTGTCGATGCGGCACGATCCTCCGACCACATCTACTCTTAGGTCGGGCGCGTCCCTTTGGGCGAAATCAAAAACAGACTCCCAAAATTTGCAAAAATGATCCAACCATCGTCCCCCGACTATTTTTTGACTATTTTTGAACATTCCTCCTGTAGAGGGACAGGCCCGACTTAATCTACTCCGACCCCATCTAGGAGGTTTCTAACGGCGCCACTTGTGCCCCCCGCGGCCAGCCTCCTCAGGTCTTTCGCGTCCTCTCGCTGTCCGCCCGCCTTCTGCTTCGCTCCTCTGTTGGGCCTCCAGCCGCTATTTGAGGTCGCGAGGGTCCTCGCTCCACTCCCGAGGAGGAGGAGGAGGAGGAGGAGGAGGAGGAGGAGGAGGAGGAGGAGGAGGAGGAGGAGGAGGGGAGGAGGAGGAGGGAGGAGGAGAGGAGGAGGAGGCGGAGGAGGAGGAGGAGGAGGAGGAGGAGGAGGAGGAGGAGGAGGAGGAGGAGGAGGAGGAGGAGGAGGAGGAGGAGGAGGAGGACGCGCGGCGGCCAGGGCGTCTGCTCGGGGCGGCGCGGGCGCCTGCGGCGGCGTGGACCTGCGGTGCGCCGAGCGCGCGCTGGTGCCCGCGCCGCGAGCGGGCGCTGGCGGGCGCGGGGCCGCGGAGGCGCTCGCGACGGAGAGGCGCCGCGCGGATTTTTTGTTCTCCTTCGGGGAGGGGAGGAGGAGGAGGAGGAGGAGGAGGAGGAGGAGGAGGAGGAGGAGGAGGAGGAGGAGCTGGAGGAGGAGGAGGAGGAGGAGGAGGAGGAGGAGGAGGAGGAGGAGGAGGATGTGGAGGAGGAGGAGGAGGACGTGGAGGAAGAGGACGTGGAGGAGGAGGACGAGGAGGAGGACGAGGAGGAGGACGAGCAGGAGGAGGAGGATGAGGAGGAGGACGTGGAGGAGGAGGAGGACGTGGAGGAGGAGGAGGAGGAGGACGAGGATCCCCGTTTCAATGCGGCCAGTTGGCAACACGCGCACTTGCGCTCGCGCACTTGCGCTCCGCGATTTGGCGACGTGGCAGACGCGGCTCCCCTACAACTGTCTCGCATGAAGCGACACCCGGCCCCCCTAGGAGCGGGCACGCGCGCCGGGCATTTGCCCCACTGCAAGCGCCCTACTCGGGACTGCGTATGCCTGCCTTTTGCCCGGGGCTTCGGCACCAACGCGCCCCACT